ACTAATAACATATACACTGAAGAAAATTATAAACGCAACACTTGTTTTTGCCCCCATTTTTCATGAGCTGAACTCAAAGATCTAAGACTTTTACTATGTACACAAAAGGCCTATTTCTGTCAAATATTGTTCACAAATTTGTCTAAATCTGTGTTAGTGAGCACTTCTCCTTTGCCGAGATAATTTATCCACTTCACAGCTATGGCATATCAAGATGCTGATTACGGTTATAGCATCTAATTATTGGGACTTTGTATCAATTTCTCACCCTCTCTGCTTCATTAATTGCTAGGTTTAGCCCTTTGAACTAACTTCTCAGAATAGCACTACCTAGCAATATTCTGGCTCTTGTACTTAGAGGTGAGAATTTAGTTCATATATGTTATGAGTAATTGTTTTTATTACATTATATTTATTTTACTTAATATATTCACTTGAGTGGTTTCTTTTAAGAAGATTTCAATTAAAAGTTGATTTATAAAAAGAGGCTGCTTTTGTCTGTAAGGTTTTTCTTGTTTTCCCTGGCATTTTTTCTTTGGTAAATCTGTTAATGTTAAGGGGTAACTCCCCCAGTTTGTCGCCGCGGCCTGACACACTCTCCTTGACTTTTTTCTTTTCCAGAGCAGCAATTTTGCCTACATTTTGTGATTGGATTTAATTTGCTAAAATTTGTTGATTAGTGAATAACCCTCTGGAGTGTGACTTGCCGAGAATTCACAGTGAATTTCAGATTTGTGAACAATATATCTACATTGGGGAAAAAAAGTTTTGTTCTGCTATTTTTGGCTTACAATTTGAAATCCCCTTTAAATAACTTACATATTATTGAATAACCCTGGCAGCAGGGGAGGGCTGGCAGCCTTAGGCCTTTGGGGCAAATCCAGTCAAGTGGCCCATTGCACCAAGAGGAGAGTAAAAACACCTTTCCCATGTGATTGAAGGGGGGCAGTCACGTAACAGACACTCAATGACAGGCACACACACACTTGCTGATTTGGCACACACTAAAATACACACACTCACTGACAGGCACACAGACCACACACAGAAAAACACACTGTTACAGGCATACTGACTCAGACAGACAAACATACTGACACACACACAACAAAGGCATACTGGCTGATACACACACACAGACAAACTGGCACACACATAGACATACTGACACGCACACAGACAGACATACTGGCGCACACAGACATACTGGCACACACACACACACAGACATACTGACCCACACACACACAGACATACTGACACCCACAGACATACTCATACACACACATACACCCAAATTTTACACTTTTAAAACCAGTAGACAGGGGCTGAGTAAAGAGACAGGGCTGTAGTGGGGGGACAGGGGCTGTAGTGGAGGGTATAAGCTGTAATTGGGGGTTTAGGAAATGTGGTGTGGGTGAGGAGCTGTAGTGAGGGTGTTATGGGGCTGTAGTGGGGGGCATGGGGCTGAGGAAGGGGGCTGGAGCAGGGAAAGGGTGGGATAGGGACTGAGGGGGGGGAAAGGAGCAGGGAAAGGGCGGGATAGGGGCTGAGGGCGGGAAAGGAGCAGGGAAAGGGCGGGATAGGGGCTGAGAGGGTGGGATAGGAGCTGAGGGGGGGACAGGGGCTGCAGAAGATGGATAGCGGCTGCGGAAGGGGGATAGCGGCTGCGGAAGGGGGATAGTGGCTGAAGAAGGGGATGGGGCTGAGGAAAGGGACAGGGGCTGGGCAAAAGAGGACAGGGGCTGAGGAATGGGGACAGGGGCTGAGGAAGGGGACAGGGCTGAAGAAAGGTATTGGTACAGGGGCTGAGCAAGGGGACAGAGGCTGAGCAAGGGGACAAGGGCTGAGGAGGACAGGACTAAGGACAGGGCTGAGGAGGGGAGACAGGGCTGAGGAGGGGGGACAGGGGCTGAGGAAGGGACAGGGCTGAGCAGGGCTGAGGAGGGGGGGGGACAGGGGCTGAGGAGAGGGGGACAGTGGCTGAGGGACAGGCTGAGGGAGGGGACAGGGCTGAGGAAGGGGGGCAGGACTGGAGGAGGGGGACAGGGGCTGGAGGTAGGGACAGGGGCTGACTAGACAGGGCTGACTAAGGACAGACTGAGGGGTGGGGACAGGCGGGGAGGGGGACAAGGGCTGACTAAGGGGACACAGGGCTGAGGAAGGGTGACAGGGGCTGAGGACAGGGACTGAGGGAGGGCACAGGGGCGAGGGGGGACAGGGCTGAGGAGGGCACAGGGCTGATGTATGGTGACAGGGGCTGAGGTACGGTGACAGGGGCTAAAGTAGGGGACAGGGCTGAGGAGGGGGGACAGGGGCTGAGGTAGGGTGACAGGGGCTGAGGAGGGGACAGGGGCTGACTAAGGGGAAATGCGCTGACTATGGGGTTGGCTAAGGAGACAGGGGCTGAGGAGGGGGGGCAGGGGCTGACTAAGGGGACAGGGCTGAGGAAGGGTGACAGGGGCTGAGGGAGGGGACAGGGCCTGACTAAGGGGACACGGCTGAGGAAGGGTGACTGGGACTGATTAATGAGACAAGGCCGAGGAGGGGGGACAGGGGCTGAGGAGGGGAAGAAAAAAAAACTAAAGTGTATTTCCCCCCTCCCAATTGCCTCCCTGCCCCCCTCCCCAGCCCGCCCATGCCTGGCAGGCTAACAGTACAATCTAATTCTGGTCATAAATATTATGCCAACAGCCGCAATAAAATATTCTAGGCTTCCTCAACCAGACAGACAGATTTACCCAGCTGAGGAAGCCGAGAATTTCGGTGAAACGCATCTTTGGAATAGTTACGATTACCCTTATGCCCTAATTATATAGTGTATTTGTATTTGCTAGATATTTTTATATGTAATATTTTTTTATGTATTATTTTATGTTTTTAGTATGTTTTTTAATATTATTTGGGGAAATATACCCTATTAATAAATAGCTTTACACATACACTTTGGGCCAGTGGTTTCCTGCTTATAGGCGTGTAGTCCTGATACTACACAACATGCTGTGATTGAGCCTTTGTGATGGCTCCACCTTTGTGAGTATATTTTTATAGATATTATACTCCACCCTCCATTACATAAGATACTGCACCATATTTGCTTTTCTGCTCTAGCCCTAATATAGGATTAAAAGAAAACCACTACAGCAAAGAAGGGAAAGGTCGCCTAAACGGACCTATTGGCGTTTTACCCCTGAGCTAGGCATTTAGCTCGGGTAAATGTGAGTGGTTCCATATATATACGTTCACTCTCACTTTATACCTACCATTTTACACTATTGGAGTCCTTTGATTTTTTTTCCTTTCCTAGGTTTTTTGTGAAATTGTAAGAATAACTAATACTATTGTACAAGTTAAGTATAGTCTACTTATTTACCGTAGATCTTAATAAGCGCTACACTGTTCCATTTTTCTTGATCTATATTGAAAGTTCTGTTTAGTTTATATTTAGGTGCCAATTGTGCTTGAAAGCTAATATGGAGAATTTATATGGGATTATGTGAACCACTGAAAATCAATATTACAATCAAAAACAATGTATTTATTTTTAAAGGTCGGCGGGTCTGCCTGGGAGAGAGTCTTGCGAGAATGGAACTTTTCTTATTCTTTACATCACTCATGCAGCAGTTTAAATTCGAGATACCCGACAAAGAACCTCGTCCAAGGGAGGATGGCCAACTTGCATTTACACTCAGTCCACATCCTTACAAAATGTGCGCTGTATCAAGAATGTAGCTTGTTAAACTGAAAATCCTTATAATTCTCTATAAATGTAGCTACGTATGTTGCAATCATTAATGTAACAACACAATGGTTGATTATATAGGACATGGAGCTCATAGGAATTTCTAAAAAAAAAAATTGTTAACTGCTTTAAATGCTGCACTTTACACTATGAGACAATTTTTTAAATTGTGCTAAAATGATCACCAAAGATGGGATGGAATGTGTGTGGTTATATGGTTACAATGTACTAATTAAATTAATTGTATGAAATAATGTAGGACTACGCTTTAGAAAATGGGTAGGATTATGAAAGACATTAGAATAAAGAAAATGAAGATGTAGGTAGGCAAAATATGCTGCACAAGCCTATGAATTTATTGATATGATATTATCCATAACCAAATTAATCTACCTATATACACACTTTGCTTCTAAAAATTATTAAAGTAAAAGTTATCATAACCTTTTCCACATTATATATCAGTGCTAAAAATTGTGTTACAGTTTGACATAAATAAAATTTTAAAAATGTATCTATCACATTAGAGAGGAAACGATTTTTAAAAGAGTGTTTAAAGATGCATAGGAAAGCTTTATTTCAATACTTTCTTATGGAGTAACTGTAAAAGACCAACAAAGATGTATTTTGGAACAGACAAAATACATCCTCATCTGTGTAGCCAAATATCCTTGCGCCGGCACTGTTTACAGTCATGTATCATTCATCTGCAATGTTAACCTCACAATGTACATCCACAAGTGACAAGATTATGCAAAGCCAATCTCACACTTTACATTCAATCACATGAGATGAACTGACTGAATCAAAGAGATGAATTGTTGCAATGCTGACTTCACATGTTGAGCATTCACTTACAAGAGCTCAGTGGCTGGATTCTGTACTGGTGACATCACAACGTATATCCACAAACAGGAGCTCATTCACAATATTGCTGTTGTGTTTTTTTATAGTGCATATTCTCTCACAGGAATAACCACAATGTGTATATACGCATAACAGATTATTGTTAGGATTCTGGAGAAATAATTTATATCCAATAAAGGGAAATCTAAGAGTTTATTGTATAATCTAACCTCACACTAAAAGTAATTTCAATGGCTGGATTTTGTAATGTTAATCTCATTAGGCACTAGCACCCACAAACAGATCAGAGCAAGAACTTGTGTGCTCTGTGCAATATAGGGCAGTTTATGATTTTAACAAAAAAAAAAAAATATATATATATCTATATCTATATATATATATATATATATATATATATATATATATACATACATATATTCGTGTTAAGAGCACATAGCCGTAGGAGTAATTCCAGTATAATCGTAGGATAGTACAAAAGAGCAAGTCGGTTGTGGTGTGCCAGGACCGACAATACGGTAGGCCTGTAAATAAAGAAGTAAGAAAAAGAAAGGAAAAGAGAAAAAGAAAGGAAGGAAAAGTGTTGATAATGTATAGTGGTTGGAGGGTCATGCAAACGCTGACCTCGAATGGTGTGGAGCCAGGTAAGGGGTGTTCCTTAAATAGGTAAGTGTATAATCATAAGCCCCTCCCACAATTACAGGCCAAACGACCTTAATACATATATATATATATGTATATAAAAATAGATAAGCAAGGCACTCCTCCTCTACCTTATTCAACAAAATCACAACTGCCCAGGTGCAATCCCGCGTTGAATATACATTAGAAAATAAAGGGAGCACACTAGGGCTTCTTCTCAGTGGAAAAAATATACTTTACTGTATCATCAAGTAATACATATTCTATGCAGAGTATAAAAAAATCGACGTTTCGACCCTCCTGGGTCCTTCTCGCGTGAGCACAGAGCGTTGCCGCAGTTACCACGACAACGCTCCGGCTCTCACGAGGGTGAACTCTAGCCCTGGAGCTAGAGTTCACTCTCACCACTGCGACCACCAGGATTCCTGGTGGTCGCAGTGGTGAGAGTGAACTCTAGCCCCATACACACATTTCCCCCACACACACACCATACACATTCACATACTGCCCCCCATACACACATTGCCCCACACACGCTACACATTCACAAACTACACACCCACACACTGAACCTTTCACACATATTGCACCACTGCTCCTATACCCTACTACAGCCCCATATCCCATTAGACTCCAGGTAAGTTGTCAAACTGTTCTTAAACGGTTTGACTACTTACTCTGGGAGGGGGTCCCGGCACTCCTGGCATCATAACCACTACACAGAGGAGTAGTGGTTATTGTGCATGGAATATTTCTTTAAATAATCTACAAGTGCCCCTCCCGGGATCAGGCTCTGGATCCGCCACTGGTATATGACGTGTATATTAATGTGTGTATTAGTTATATATATATATATAGAGAGAGAGAGAGAGAGAATTATGCCTATTATATTTACACATATATTAATGTACATTTATATATGCATAATACACAGAGAAATTTCATTAATATGTACCATATGTAATGAGCAGATATTGGCCCAGTCTTGTTGCTAGGTGCATACTCCAGCACAATAACATATTTAAAGTGAAGAGCACACCCACAGGACTTCAAAATAAAAATTTTTACAGTTGTGCCCCACATACATTCACCATTTCAGTCCCATTACCAAGCTTTCCTTAATATGTCAAGGTAATTGGACTGAAACATTGATTACATGCAAAGGCATATGTGCTTAAAATAAATCTGCACTTTTGTTTATTTTGAAGCCTATGAGTGCTTTTTTTTACGTTGGAGTAATAATTTTTAATTTTAAGTTATCTGTTCTAACTCTGTATCTGCACACTATGCTGGCATGACGCATTATGGGGCTGGTAAATATTTTTTTTTCCAGGGCTGCTTTTAATTCCCAGTCCGGCCCTGCCAGTGATAGGCTGAGTACGTCAGCTAATGCTCGAGCGAGTCACTGCCACCTCCTCACTGCTCGCGCTCTCTCTTCCCGAATTTGCTGAAGCAAAATGGGAGAAGGAGGGACTGGCACCCAAGGACGCATTCAAGAATGATTCAACTCTTAAACGATAAGATATTATAGATTAAATTGTTATGGCGCCAGAGGAGTCATCTAATTGTGCATTGACTCACAGTGGCCATATTTAAAAAATTTGATTGAATAATAGATTTTCACTTAATGAAGCTGAAAGCTGTTATTCTGTAATGTGGACATCACAACAGATTAATTTACATGATGTCAGTGGTATATGTCTGTAATGGTGACCTAACAGTGCACATTTACTTACAGGAGTTCAATGTCAGGATTCTGTCATTATGACCTCATTATACATGTCCTCTAGCAGAAATTCAAACTGTTATTTTGTAATAATGGTGTTGCAATACATATGCACTTGGGCAGTGGCAGAATTACAAAATGCCTCACATTGTACATCAACAACATTTATTGAAACAAAAACTAAATTTGCGTCCTATTAAAGTATGCCTGCGTCCCTGGGTGGAAGATCTGCCATCATTTAGGATGCGTTATAGCCTTCCAATGGTTTCCTCTGATAATCTCAGCTAAAGTGAAGAGCACACTCATAGGACCTAAAAATAAACAAGATACACCAGTTTAGCAGACATTCACCATTTCAGTCCCATTACCAAACAGTTCTTAATATGTCGAGGTAGTTGGACTGAAACATTGACTATATGCAAATGCATACATATCCAAATGCTTAAAATAAATTCACTCTTTTGTTTATTTTGAAGCCATATGAGTGCTTTCTTTCACGTTGGAGTAATATTGTTTAGTTTTAAATTTCAAGTTCTCTCTTCCACTTCCATATCTGCACACTATGCTGGCATCACGCATTATTGGGCTGATATAGGTTTATTTTCCAGGGCTTTTTTTCATTCCCAGTCTGGCCCTGTTACATTACCATCTATGACAGCCAGAAGAGCTCCTGATTTTTGTGACATGTTTGTACACAGCCATCCTGCTCTGTTACATCAATCTGCAATCTGGCTAAAACCCACTCGCGGTGTTTATCGTTGCGGCCATTGCAAGGCCTGCAACTTTATTGTACCGACCAAAGAAGTTTAAAATGTTGTTGCCAACAAGTCAATGAAACTCAAATCTTTAATAAATTGTTCTTTTGCTAATGTTATTTATCTGGCAAGCTGCTCTTATGGCATCCAATATATCGGCAAAACTATTCAACAGTTCCGCAGAAGGATTTTGCAACATGTACATTCAATAAAGGCCCACCTTGACACATCAATCTCACGCCACATTCACAACTTGTCAGGCAAAAGAGATTGTCAATACATTATTGTAAAAGGAGCCTAGGTGGATCTATGGGTTCAGGACGTTGTCCCCCGCAAATCTTAATGGGGAATTTAACTTTACGACGTTTATTAATTAATATAGAGGATTTCTGGATATATTTTCACTTACGATGCTTATACTCCTGTTGTGGAAATGAGATATTAACATAATTTTAGCTAGTAAAATGCCTATTTACTCCATTTAGTTATACTCAGTATTATTCAATAAATTACTAAACTGACCACTAGATGTCACTCAGGAGTACCCCACCCATCGACCAAACACTCTCATTTTCAAGATGGCGCTGGAATCCGGGGGAGAACTTCATGACGACAGTAATGACATGGCACACCCAGTAGGACGTGCTTTGAATAAAACACTTAACACTTAACCAATTATTGATGTATTATTTCATGTTATCTCTGACAGTGCTTATGATGTAATTGTGCTTTATAAGGGACATGTCGTCCCCCCTGAATAAACATTCCAGAGTATTTCATCAACCGGGAAACGTGTGTCTGGTGTGATTTACTTAGGAAAGCATGCATGCACCATAACCAATTTGGAAAGGGGCAGATACACAAAAATAATCAATTGATTGAATTGATTTCCACTTCACTCATGAGGTGGCTATATTTCATTTCATACATGTATTTCAGATATGTTATGAATATTGGGTATAGGTATATTTTAACTTTGATGTTCTTGTATATAGCCTCAAACTTATTTGTACTTCTCTTCAGCTCCTCAAATCTATTTTAGTGTCTCTTTATGCATTTAGGACACTGTTACTTTAAACCTTTGTTTGGCTTCAGTAGTGGATTGGCATGGAGTGTATCATATCTATCTATCTATATATATATATATATATATATATATATCATCTCCATGGCAACCTTTTTAGAATGCATCACTTGAATAGGAGGAACATGCAAAGCAATATGTCTGCAGATCTGATGCCAATCTGTTTATTTATCAAATGATCTTATGGCTGCCAATCAGTCACAAGCATAGTTGTGCCTTACACCTTTAACCCCTTAAGGACACATGACATGTGTGACATGTCATGATTCCCTTTTATTCCAGAAGTTTGGTCCTTAAGCGGTTAAATATTTTGATTTCTTAACTCTTAGTGCAAGGCAAGCATTGAATTGGCCACCAAACAGTACCCTATCACGTCAACATAGCCATTCGCAGGAAGGGGATGGATAATGAAATCCCGGGTGTTGCCTTAGTAGCCTCTTCTCTAGCAATACCTGAAGCAAATTATTTTTTTGTTTTTCCTTATTTTTCACTTTGCATTTTCATTATTTGGACTAAAGGGAACATTGGTCAGCTGATAAATTTGTAGGGACTAGTCACCACAATTTTTTATTGTAAGGAACATCCGACCTCTGCACACCACCTTTAGGGAGTTTTAGTGATTTTGATATTTACGTTTACAGTTCATTCCTTTTTTTTTTTTATTATTGTTTTTTGTTTTATCCATTCTTTGTAATTAGAAATAGTTCCAGTCTTACTTAGTGAATTTTTGTTTGGGAGAATAGCGACATCTGGTGGATGTTTGAATTCATTGTCAGACTTCCTTTGCAACAGAATATACGACTGACTTAAAGAGTGATACTCATTGTTGCAATTCTTGAATAATAATACACAGTGTATCAAACTTCCATCATTTGTTTCAACCCTTAAAAATACTGCCTTTTCCTATTCCTACTGTAATAATTAGAGAAACTTGGGGAGGTTACCATTTCAAAAATTACTTATAAATACAGGCAAACTAATTTCGTGAATTGCTAGACATTTGTTAAATAGGATGTACAAAAAGAGGAGCTGAGGGCTGTGCTTTGTCAGAAATGAGTAAAAGAGTAAAAATAAAAATAAAAACAATTATAGTTCATCCGAATAAATAAGAAATATAAATTAAAACAGTCTCACTGATGTGCAGTAATATAATATAAGTCCTCAAATGTCGCTCCGTCCTTATGGTAGGTAGTCCATATATGTGAAGACAAAAATAAGAGAAAAAAGCTTCCAATGGTGAAATATAGTATGCCCAAAATGTGGTATATATTCAAAGGAAAGGTATTTCTTTTTTTGGTAAATATGAGTTTATTTTTGAAGTTTTGCTGTAGCAGATACAATCAAACATGCATTAGTGAGTCGAGAGACACGTAGGTCTCATGTACCGTAACATTCAGTTTAATATTTGACATTTATACAGTATTCCTTGAGACTTGTAGGCTTTATTATCCTCATGTGTCTATAAATTCCGTATTTCCTTTGTTTCTTTTCCCTTTCCCTCTCCTTCCCTCCCCGCTTCCCCTCCATCCTCTAGTTCCCTTCCTCCCAACCTTCCCTTCTTGTTCCTTTTCCTTCTCCTTCCCTCTCCTTCCCCTTCCTTTCCCCTCTCCCCTCCTCCTCCTCCTCCCCCGTTTCTTCTTCCCCCCTGTTTTGCATTCCCTGGTATCGTGGGATGTTTCTTTTACCGTGGGGTTAGGGCTATCTCATTCTGCTATGGGAGTCCCTATCACATGGTTCATTGTGTTCTATCCGTGCATTGGCGCAGTCGCCTGGCGTCGGTAGCCCCCTACCTTCTGGGCTTCTGTCTTTGTCGGATATCGTCCGATTGTCCGGTATGAGCGGTTTTACCAGAGCCCTTTAGTTCTTCGTCTCGTGCGTTTTATTCTTGAGTGTTGTGCGTTATTCTGTGGCATATTTGTGCGCTGCTGTTGATCTTTACATTGTGTTGGGCTTGTCTTACGGTCCTGGGTCTCCCTTCCCTTGTTCACTACTTCAGCTAGTGTATGTTTGTCTTTACCTCCGTTTGGGGTTGCTTTCTGTGATGGTCGGCCACCAAGCAGTATATACCGCTTTTGTGGGTGACCATGCCTAGATTGCTCGTGTTCGCCTCTGTGGATTCCAGATGGTGCTGGAACTAGAGCTAGGTATGTTTGTTTAATGGTTCAATCTGAGTTTGCTTTTTTGTGGCTGTTGTATTTTCCTTTTCTGTTCCGATCAGCGTGTATCAGTATGTAGCTGTTTCTTCGGCTGTGTTTGTACTACGGTGTGGTGTAGCACCTACTAGGTTGTTATGTCTCCGTGGTCCTTGTGTTGTGTTATAGGTTTGGAGAGATAGAGGAGAAGAAGAAGAGAGAGAAAAAAAAAGGGGGGAGGGGAAGTTGTGGGGAGTGGTTGCCTGTTTGACGTATGGGGTCACCTTCTATGTTACAGAAGGAAAGGTATTTCACTCACATTTGTTGGAGCTCAAACCAGCTCTAGGAGAAGAGGCACTTAGTGGTTTAATCCCCACTATCGGATATACTTAAAAGGTTGGTCCGTCCGTCCAGCTTGAGATTTCTTTGATGTAGGCTAGGACCTACTCAGATGTGCATTATTCGTTTATGCTGGGGAGATAGGTCCGCCTCTCCGGTATTGGATAATAGATGTCCACGAGATATATAAAACAGCAGATAGTGCTCTCAGTATGAACAACACAGTAATATGTTAAAATAAGTTATACTTACAAAAATAGAGCAGACAGGTACTGCTCTATTGCCTCCAACATAGCTGAGTGATACAAAAATGGAGGCTCTTTAGTTCTATTCTAAATGGCCATTTGAATATGTAAGCTCACCAGCCACGTCAAGGCAAGCCTCAATAGGTGAGTTCCTACACTAGCCATTAGATACGCTATCAGCCAAGAGTCTCCAATAAGACAGGAAGGGGTATTTTATAAACCCTTTAACATTTAACCCTTTATAGGGCTTCTGCACATACAATACACTTTGCTGATATCAGACAAAGTGAGACAGAAAGGGGTGTTTTATAAACCCTTTAACATTTAACCCTTTATAGGGCTTCTACACATTCAATAAACTTTGCTGGTATCAGACAAAGTATAAACGTCTCTAATGAGACATGAAAGGGTGTTTTATAAACCCCTACATACTTTACCCTGAATCGGGCTATAACATACAAATCACCTTGCTGGTATCAGCTAAAAGGCAAATTTCTCTGATGAGACAGGAAGGGGTGCTGCCCCTACATACTTATAAAGTCTTAATAAGACAAACGTGGGAAGGCTGGCAGCAATGTAACATAGCTGAGTGATACAAAATTCATATACAGACACAAAGATAAAGCACCGCACTTACAGCAGCAGTGGCTTAGTATCCAACAGCTTAAAATACATAGTAAAAACAAAGAAAAACGTTACCTGCGCTCTGGCCTAGATCCCCATGTGCATTTGAACAAAAATGGAGGCTCTTTAGTTCTATTCTAAATGGCCATTTGAATATGTAAGCTCACCAGCCACGTCAAGGCAAGCCTCAATAGGTGAGTTCCTACACTAGCCATTAGATACGCTGATATCAGCCAAGAGTCTCCAATAAGACAGGAAGGGGTATTTTATAAACCCTTTAACATTTAACCCTTTATAGGGCTTCTGCACATACAATACACTTTGGGGTGCTCAAACTCTGCCCCCCCCCCAGATTTTGCTGAACTACAACTCCCATGATTCTCTGGCTATTTATGTAATTCAAAGAATCATGGGAGTTGTAGCTCAGCAACATCTGGGGCGGGGGCAGAGTTTGAGCACCCCTGTTCTAGTGAATTGGGGCTACCCCATCTGTAATGATCACCATTCTTGTGAAGAGTGCCAGTGACCGGACACAGAGAGCGTCTCCACTGCAGAGTAGCCCGGGACAAATTGGAGTAGAAGCTCAATTTGGAGTAAAAAGTAAGATTGTGTGATTCAAATTCACAGGCAGAGGAGTCCCAGCCCAAAGAGAGAACCATTTTGTCTAGTGGTGACACAAATTGTACAATGAATCATCTATTGTAGATGAATTCAGATCTCTCATTGTCTTCAGTATGTGGTAACAGCTGCCCATAATAGCAGCCTTGGCTCTTTAAGGCAGTAGCAGGTTGAGAAACAGGCAGTGTAAGTAATGAGGGTGTTTGGCCAGAACCACCTCTAAAGGAATCCCCCATATTTTTACATTGTTGTGTCGTCTCCTTTCCCACCAATGTTGCCGTTGTGCATTCACGGGCACGTAATACTGTATTGTGGAATTCTTGCATTGCGGTCTGCTTGGTCTTAAGCTCAATTACATCCTCCTCCGTCGCTTTTATTCTGCCCGTGGAGGAGTGGATGTCCTCTTTAACAATCAACAGGTCAGCTTGGAATAGGGAGTGAATGTCAGAATCTCAGAAAAACCTCACATGAGGGGGCTATGGACTATGTATATAATATGTAACTCAAGATTATTATACATGTGAAAAAAATGTAGAAAAAAAAAACCAAAATAAACCACCAAACGTTATGGATTTTTAACACGGTTTTATTAAAGTGATCTAAACAGTCCCAAGGATCAACCTCTTTTAAATCTATAAACAAACAAAAAAGATAACGCTTCTATTGCCTGTGGTTTCAGGCTTCAACATTTGTAGGAGAACATTTTTAAGATCAGAAAGAAAGTAACGTAGAAATCAGATATCCAAAATATAGATCTCTCTCCGTGAATCTGTTAACCGTTAGTAATTAATAGAACAACAAATGCACTGTGTAAGTGTTTTGTAGTAGTAATGTACA